TTCTACACCGTCCAGCGACCCTCTAGAGGACTGATCAGAACTGTTCCCCAGGGTTTCTGAGCCATTTTCCCAGGCCCAGCCAGCACCAGCTTTCTCCAGAGAAGCGACTGGGGGGTTCCGAGCACCTCTCCCGGGGGTGACAGCCCAGTGCTGGACCCAGTAGCACCAGGTCTGTTACAAACCCAGTGCCATCGAGGCAATGCTGACTCGAAGCGATCCTCTGAGACGGGAGAGAACTGACTCAGGTCTGTGTAGCAGACAGCCTCATCTTTCTCCGTGCAGCAGCTGCTGGTCCTGCGGGGGAGCAGCCCAACACTCCCTGCTGCTGTGCTCCCAAACCTGGTAGCTCCTGGGAAAACCAACTTTGCATTCAAGAGTGCCAAGGAGAACGAGGCTTCCCCATTTTTTCCCCTGACAGACTCACACTGAGCACAGCCTGGGGTCCTCAACACAGCACACAGCTCTCTGCTCAGGAAGCTGTGCCTGCTCTGGGAACATGGATGGGTCCTGCCAACTTACCTGCACATGCAACTGCAGTTACGGGCTTTCTCCACTCTGAAGCCTGGAGCTCTTCATGGACCCTCAGTAGGTGCTGGCTCCACAGTCCTCTCCAGCCTCACTCCATCCTTCCTTATCAACACTTTTCCAACGGGGATGCTCCAACTATGTTTCCCCAGCACAAGGTGGGCGTCTCTCCATCATCCTTTGTCTGTGTGTGGTAAAATACAACATAACTTTCCACTTTAACCATTTTCAAACGCCCGGCCCAGTGGCATTGGCCTGCACCCCACTCACCACACTGGGCAGCCATCACCATACCGCTGTTTTGTTTCCAAAACCTTTCAACTCCCGAAAGTCTGGACCCACGGAGCAGTGGCTCCCCATCGCCTCTTCCCACAGCCCCTGCAACCACGTGTGCACTGTGTCTGCATGTGCCTGCTCTCCAGGCTTCATGCCAATAGGATGGCAGGGCATGCCCGCCTGTGCCTCCATGTTTTGTGGAGCAAAGGCTGGCACCTATTAACAGATGCACACAGATGCACAAGGTTTCACATGAAAACAGACTTCCCTCACCACCAGCACCCCCTGCACCCTGAGGCCCATGTTCCAAAGACACAGTCCTAACCCTCAGGGCCAGGTTTTGATTCGGTGTCTGCTCCAAGAGGAGCAAAGCAGAACTAAAGATCATTTCAGAGCTGGGCTGGGGCTCAGCCAGGCTCCAGCAGAGGCCCACACGGCTGCTTTAACGACTGGTGAAGTCTTGGTTCCACCGACCAGAGCAGCTCCTCAGAACCCAGCAGCATCCAGCCGTGCCAGGGCAACGCACCCACTTCGGGAAAAGCCCTCCCTCCACAGGAGCGGTGCTTGTGACATCGGCAACAGGCAGAGGTCATGCGCAAAGCATACAGCTGAACAGCACCTGTAAGACCTTCACTGTCAGGGCTTAGAAGCCAGGGGTAAGCCTACAGGGTCTAAGTCAAAAGCTCTCCTCTGCCCTGCCCCCTCAGCAGGCTCCTTTTCCGGGGCCTTTCGGGAACGGGGACGTTCAAACTAGGGTGGCACATTAGGTTCACTGACCGTCACTGGACTGACGCTTTTTCCATTCACTGTCCCCCTCTAGAAAGAACGGACACTTGATTTAACGCCGTCACTGAATTGCCTTGTCTTGGGGGGTGAGCTTGGAAGGGGGAAGGGGGATCTTAACTCCTGAGAGCGGCATCCACTGGGACTCTGGCTCCACCCATCAGAACCCCGGCCACCACATGAGACACATTTGCTAAATTTAGCTTCGCATCAGCAAACACCGGAGCTCAGAATAGTTTGTGGGGTTCTCATCTTACCCTTACGCAGTGGTTCCAAGGCTGTTTTCCCAAGGCAGGCCCCGGCAGGGCAGGGCACAGGCACCTGCGTGCTCCCTTGATGGCTGTTCTTGAGTCTGCCCCAGGGTGACAGTCACTCAACATGCTTGTGTCCGCACCTCCCGATAGTGGGAACCTGCCGAGCCCTGAGTCACATGTCACGTCGTTTTCAGGAACGGCCAGCCGTGCTGTGGTCCTTGCGCCCCATCCCATTACTCAGCCAGCTAAGTCGGGTTTCCCCGAATCCCTAGCTTCTCGGAAGCAGATGTGGCCGAGTTCTATAAATAGGGAGCAGAGCAAGCAAACTGGTTCTGTCAATCTTCACACACTGGCAGGATACTGCATATTTTAAAATTATAAAAATATCGCTGTCTTCATTCTAAAATTATTACATAACGCACGATGTTCTCAGCAGAAACGAAGCCATTATCCTTGCCTCTCCCTACCTCCCAATGCTTGGGATCCTCACACTGGTGATCAGTCACTCAACTATCGAGCAGGAGCCTCACTACCCTGCTCGGTGCCAGCCTCAGTGTGAGGCAGACAGGAGTGCGAAAGAAAGACAAACGGAGGCTCTTCTCTGGGCGGTGGGCCATCGTAACTCATGGTGGCATGTCTGTAGGTCGGCTCTGGGGGCGGGGTAGGGGTGTGCACGCACTTGACGGCAGCATCAGCTCACCATCTTACCATGGTCCTTGACAAAAGGCCCTGAGGTGCCCTTATGCCACGTGTGCCTGAGAAGTGACCATGGCCCCTGGTCACCCAGCTCGTGAGGAGGTGAGTCGGCATTACCCATGTGCGTGGCATGAGGGTAATGCCA